AGATGTGGATAAGAGACAGATATATATATATATATATACATATATCATACGACTAGGCTCACTCATAGTGGAGCTATGGTTTGCTATGCTGCGTAGCGATATCTAAAAGATCTCCTGTTTTGTTGAATATTCAACAACTGACTCAAATGCTCACTCATGGTGGAGCTAAAAAGATAGGTCTCATGGAATTCGCGTATAGTACGCAAAAAATCCGAAATAGGAGGGTTGATTGAAAGATTTGTTCTCTCTACATAGGGAGAGCTTGTTTAATCAACAATAAGTTTAGGCCGCAAAACTTCCGATTTTTGAGTTTTCGCGTATAATATGCAAAAATCCCGAAATCGGAGTGTTGATAAAAAGGTTTCAAACTGATTTTAGAGTTTCGCGTATAGACGCAAAAACGGAGGGTTGATTAAAAGTCTATATAGAGAGAGCTAATTCAATGTTTTTTTGTATTTATTTATTTATTTTTTATATATTTCGAACATATTAACAGGATTAAAACATATCAGGTGGATGTTAAAGCATGTTTTTCATATGGTCTTATTCTAACTAACTTATAGTTATATAACAAATATTATACGTCAGACTTAAATATTAAATTCTAATAAAGCAGACAAAATGGATGGTCAAAGTGCTCTGCCAATATTTTACATGCGCGCAAGATATACCGTTCAAAATTTTAATTTATATAAGAAAACTGAAAAGATCAAAACGTAACAGTGATAAAATCAGAAATATGATGAAAGAATAAAAATAACACATCATTACAGAAATATAAATACGTAAATACATCACACACAGTCAAGAGAGGCCTATTTAAAGAAACACGTATCCGCCGTCATACGCACTATAAAAAGCCATACATATTGAAAATCCAAGTTTAATCATGTATATATATATATATATATATATATTACATACATGGACGTTCAAATGTTAAAATAATGTTTCTTGTAAGTTAATTTAAAATTACGAAGGTTATTCGATTCTTTCTGTTCGCGTGGCAACTTATTCCATGCATGCGTGCCAGCATATTTGAGCAAAATTATCATTGTATTTACATTTACTTTAGGTAGGGATATGATTAAATTACAATAATAGTACGCAAAAAATTAGAAATCGGAGGGTTGATTGGAAGTTTTAAAACTAAGTCTAGGCTCCGAAATTGGAGTAGGCCTACAGTATTTGCGTCAGGCTGAGAACTCCGATTTGGAGTATTCTCGCAAAAACTTCAAAATCGAAGGGTTGATTAAAAGTTTTACTCTCTCTGTATACATAGAGAGAGAGCTAGTTTAATTAATAATAATAGTAGCAAAAAATCCGAAATCGGAGGATTGATTAAAAGTTTTCAAGCTCCGATTTTTGAGTTTTTGCATACAGTACCGTACTAAAAAACTAAAAAATCGGCTAGGAGTTGATAAAAAGTTTTGAAACTTCAATTTTGGAGTTTTAGCGTATATTATGCAATAACTCCATACGGAGGGTTGATTATAAGTTTTAAAAGTCCGCCGAGTTTGGAGTTTTCGCGTATAGTACGGAGGGGTGTCCACCAATGAGAAAATAATAATAATAAACAAATAATAAGCCGCTGATACTAATATATACAGTCTGACCTAAAGATGGTGTTTTTTGTATCTCATCATCGGCATGCAAACTATTAATTTACATAGGCCTATCCAATTCAGGCTAACATTTGATAATATTATTATTTTTTTATTAACCAGACGAATGTCCTTTCCTCGGGCCGCGCAACCACTGTTAGCGGCAAGCACACCAGAGGTGGTGCCAGCGGCGGGGGGGGGGAACCCCCTGTCTGGGTGAGAAAGCACAATTCGTCGGGGAGAAAAAAAATTATATGTATTTTCTACATATAAGTAGACTCTAAAATCGATTAAATAAGCCTTTGAAATCCCAAAATTTTCGGGGCTTTCGCCGCCCCTCGGCCATTTTCGAAAGATTTTAATCGAAGCTTGACCACGCCCACTTTGCTTTCGTCGGGGAAATCTGACTCCTCGTCGGGGACCTCGGTCCCCCGTCGGGCGATTCCTGGCGCCACCCCTGTACTTGCACAGACGCTCCGATTTCGGAATAACTTCAATTCTGATCTCATTATTTTGAATTTTTGCAGCTTCGGCGCTCCATAATGATGTCATGTGTCATATCAAATTGTTTTTCACCAACTCAGGCCTAGCTAGGCCTAACTATGGAAAGCATTTCCGAATGTCATTTTTTACAAATTATAAGGTAAAATATATCATTTTTTTGTTTGATTAATATAAGGAAGATGTTTATTTCATGGTGTTGTGTTTCGTTAACGTATCAATTCAGCGGAAATCAATAATTCACTCTAATCGAAACGTCGGCCGAGGCTCACTCTCTACTCTCTCTAGGCTAGGCCTAGGCCTAGCCTACCTATACCTAGCCTCGGCCTAGCTAGGCTAGGACCCTATGCTACCTCTATGCCTACTACTATACTCCTTAGACCTACTAAGTCTGCTATGGGTCTATACACTATCCTATTCCATCCTACTAGGCTAGACCTGACCTAGGCCTAGGCCCTAGCTAAAGCCAAATCTAGGCTAGGCCTATGCCTTTCCTAGCTAGGCATATAGTCTTGACTGGCCTACTGTAATGTTATTGTTACAAGGAATAGGCCTAGCCTAGCCTAGGCCTAAGTCAAAAAGGCCCTAACTTTACCCGAGGCGTAGGCCTAGCCTAGCTAGGAAGACTTGATTATGAGGCAGTGATTTGTGGCTCCAAAAAATTGCCGACAGACAGGGAATCTGATGTCTGCAGCTGGTCCGAACCAATGGGCATAGGCCTAGGGTACGCTGACCAACTGTCGGCAGGGCGCCGTTTTTCGGCAGGTCATGACCATAATTACTTATAATTAATTAATTACTGTAAGTAAATTTTTTTACGCGATGTTAACGTTGACAACGACTTGTATGATCTTATTAATGTCATCATAACACAAAAGTTTCCATGTCTTTCACTGCAAAATTTATTGGCATCTTCTTTGATACAAAAAAGCTTCAAAACCCGGAAGTAAAATTTGATACCAAAATTGAGCCAATCACTAACTAAGAGCCCTGCCCATTTCTGGAAGAGGGGAAAAAAATATATTCCAAACAAATCCAGATTTGTTCAATAATTGCCTTGAGTAAATACGTACCCTTTCAGAACAGTCCATTTTTATGATTTCAAATTGAATAGCGTTAGAGGGGGGTTTGCTGACAATTGGATGAACGACATGTAAATTTCCATTTCTCGTCATGTGGTATATTTTTATAACAAATGTAAGCATGATTAATCATTGTAAATCTTCATTTCAGTGATGGGTTCTCAAAATAAAAGCTATTGTTTGTGTCTCTGTTTTTTTTTTTTACACAACATTTTTGATTATTACCAAATTACACATTGGTAGGATCAGGAAATAGGCTAACAGCTCGCTGGTCCTGGCAGAGTGGGTGGTAGGGTAGGGGAATTTTCGAATCGTGCATCTAATTACAGAGGAAAATTAGCAGCCATTGATATCTAATAGTAATCTACGTCAAGGCCAATACTATGTAATTTAATTTAATTTTTAAGTTACCTTGGAGTTTGAATTAGATTCTACTTAATTTTTTATTTCCCTCAGATGGCTCAAACTCAACCGACATCCTCCCTCCCCCCCCCCCTCCCCCCCCCCCCCCCACCCACAAAAAAAAGAAATCAGAGCAAGCCAAGGAGCATAACATGTAAAAAAGTACCATCAAAAGATTCCCTAAAAACGTCGAACTAGGCGTGGCTTTACCTACATCTAGACTCTTTCTGAACCAGATTATAGGTGGTAGGGCATGAATAAGCCATAAGTAGGATCTTAAGCCTCTCTGCTAAGCCACTGCTTTAACAATCCTTGATTCTATAACCAGCCAATATGGTAGGAACAGTATTGATTGCATAAATAGTTATACTAATGTTAATTATTAGAGAGATAATAAATCCTCATTAACATTTTTCAATTGTAAGCTATAATAACTTAATATGGAAAGTAAACAATTTAAAAAATTGAAATTTAATGTTCAGATTTATTAGATTAATATACACATTATACCAGATACATTTGTTTAATAATAGTGATGTCATGTGTCATATCAAATTGTTTTTCACAAACTCAGGCCTAGCTAGGCCTAACTATGGAAAGCATTTCCGAATGTCATTTTTTACAAATTATAAGGTAAAATGTATCATTTTTTTGTTTGATTAATATAAGGAAGATGTTTATTTCATGGTCTTGTGTTTCGTTAACGTATCAATTCAGCGGAAATCAATAATTCACTCTAATCGAAACGTCGGCCGAGGCTCACTCTCTAGGCCTACTCTCTCTAGGCTAGGCCTAGGCCCCTAGGCCTAGGCCTAATCCTAGCCTACCTATACCTAGCCTCGGCCTAGCTAGGCTAGGACCCTATGCTACCTCTAGGCCTACTACTATACTCCTTAGACCTACTAAGTCTGCTATGGGTCTATACACTATCCTATTCCATCCTACTAGGCTAGACCTGACCTAGACTAGGCCTAGGCCCTAGCTAAAGCCAAATCTATGCCTTTCCTAGCTAGGCATATAGTCTTGACTGGCCTACTGTAATGTTACAAGGAATAGGCCTAGCCTAGCCTAGGCCTAAGTCAAAAAGGCCCTAACTTTACCCGAGGCGTAGGCCTAGCCTAGCTAGGAAGACTTGATTATGAGGCAGCGATTTGTGGCTCCAAAAATTTGCCGACAGACAGGGAATCTGATGTCTGCAGCTGGTCCGAACCAATGGGTTAAGGCTTATTAGGCCTAGGGTACGCTGACCAACTGTCGGCAGGACGCCGTTTTTCGGCGGGTCATGACCATAATTACTTATAATTAATTAATTACTGTAAGTAAATTTTGTACGCGATGTTAACGTCGACAACAACTTGTATGATCTTATTAATGTCATCATAACACAAAAGTTTCCATGTCTTTCGCTGCAAAATTTATTGGCATCTTCTTTGATACAAAAAAGCTTCAAAACCCGGAAGTAAAATTTGATACCAAAATTGAGCCAATCACTAACTAAGAGCCCTGCCCATTTCTGGAAGAGGGAAAAAAAATATATTCCAAACAAATCCAGATTTGTTCAATAATTGCCTTGAGTAAATACGTACCCTTTCAGAACAGTCCATTTTTATGATTTCAAATTGAATAGCGTTAGAGGGGGGTTTGCTGACAATTGGATGAACGACATGTAAATTTCCATTTCTCGTCATGTGGTATATTTTTATAACAAATGTAAGCATGATTAATCATTGTAAATCTTCATTTCAGTGATGGGTTCTCAAAATAAAAGCTATTGTTTGTGTCTCTGTTTTTTTTTTTTACACAACATTTTTGATTATTACCAAATTACACATTGGTAGGATCAGGAAATAGGCTAACAGCTCGCTGGTCCTGGCAGAGCGGGTGGTAGGGTAGGGGAATTTTCGAATCGTGCATCTAATTACAGAGGAAAATTAGCAGCCATTGATATCTAATAGTAATCTAGGTCAAGGCCAATACTATGTAATTTAATTTAATTTTTAAGTTACCTTGGAGTTTGAATTAGATTCTACTTAATTTTTTATTTCCCTCAGATGGCTCAAACTCAACCGACATCCTCCCTCCCCCCCCCCTTCTCAACCATGTGCCTTCATCTATGACTCAACTATTAACACAGTGAGAAAAAAAAAGATAAATATTCGATTTATTGGCAACTCATTACCATAAAACTTGTGTGATAATAATGGTAATAATGTTGATGATTATAAATGAAGATTTTTATTAATTAAGCAATTGTAGATGTTAAACTTGATACAGTATATGCCTTTGCCAGAGTTTTTTTTTTTACAATATCGTATGAAATTTAAAATAGATTAAATTTTAGTAAACATAAGTACAAGGATAGGACCAACAAAAATATTCACACAAATGGGAAGTTTATCTATTATGGGCTGTTAAAAAGGTTGCCAGAAATTGGGTGCCGACATCTGGTTCGCGCATGCTGAGAGTATGTATAAAAACCTTCGGTTGTTTATCAATCAAATATTTAATTAAGTAACAATTGTTTATATTTACAACTATCATGTTGAATATACAATTAGTTACACTATTTAATGACAGTAATATTCATGTTGAACTACTGTATAATCCTATTCCATGTAGACATTATTTTTCGTTTCATTTGCCGAGGATTGGTCAGCATACCCTAGAGCCTCTATTATTTTCCCCCACTTAGTTCTTGCAGTTTTTTTTAATGTTACTGTATTTATTGAACTGATGACAATTCAAAACCATACTAACTTTAAACTTAAGAAAACTATTCAAAATGTTAAACACTTGAATAATACCGGTAAATTATGCTCTTCCTTCCATAAAACAATGGGAATATATTCCTATCTTCTCCAAAAAATTTTGCCTATAGTAGAAAATCGTACAAGCATTTTGGATAGGAAGGGCTAATTTCCGCTCAGATTATGGGGTTAGCATAGTCTAAGGCCTGAGTCTAACTAGGTAACTTTTCCCTTTACTTTAAATTAGCTTTACTGTAGGTCCTAGGCCTTTACTAGGCTAGGCCCTAGAATTCAGGTTTGTAAAGCATCTTGTCTATGTTTGTTTTATTAATGGGGACTGTGCCACTTACAATGTGATAGAAGCAGCAGCAGCAATAGTCTTATATTTAATATAACATTTTAACTACCATTTAGGTATTAATTAGTGGATCACAGAACTCATTATCTAAGGTGACTATTGGACCACAAGGAGCTAAATGAGTTCACAGAATTTCTGTGGTTTAATTTCACATATTTAAATATGTAATTTTCAATGATGTTTCAATGAAATTTTTTTTTTTCTAGGTGAAAAACAACACTATAAAATAAAGAGCAGTGCAGAACTTTACAGTGGTATTTGGATATTTCATGATGAGTTTAACAAGTGGATTAACACGTCCTCGTCGTTTGGTACTAGGTGTTATTGTTCTTCTGCTTGTTGACATTATCTGGGTTTTATCTGCAGAACTTACAGGAGTAAGTAAATTACCATATTCAAACAATTTCATTTTCATCTGTTTACAAATAATTATGTCCAAACCAAGGGCCAACTAGAGCCTCAATCAGGGTCTCAGAATAAAAATCTATGGTCAGGTTCATGGGGCGAGTTTTTTTATAGCTTAGTAGTATGGACCAAAATTGTGCTTTTAGACCATAATATTAGGGATTGGTAATCAAAAACTAATATTTTTTGGTCCCACGACCTTGTGGCTTCAGACGTCTAAGGTCCAGGTCTATGATCAGATGGAGGCTATGTAATCTGGTGAACAGCACAACGACCAAAAGTTGCATTCATCAACTGATGTATGATATCAATTGTGAAGTTTTAAATTAGTTTTATGATCTAGAGTTAGATCGCTCTGTTTCTCGAATAATAATTAAGTAATTGTCTTGTAATTTTAAAAAAAATTATATTTTAATGTTCAATGTATTCTCTCTTTTTAGTTTTTCTATGTAGTTTTCTTGTATTTTCTAACATGCAATTTTCCACATTTCTATTTTGGTCCAGTGTGATTGTGAGGTTAATTTGTTCGAGGGGGGATGTAGGTAGAGGTGCTTGACACCTGTTCATCCCTTCCTTTTCGCTGCTTTTTATATCTTGTTTATATCTTCAATTTTTCTCATTGTGCAGTGATGAAGCGTAATAAATAAATATGAATAAATAAATAAATAGATGTCCTGATGCTTGACAAAACAATGTGAAGTAAAATGTTCCCTCCTTTTAATTTATATAGTACAGTATTTGTGACATTGGAAAATTTCTTCTCCTGTAGTATACCTTCAAGGAGGACGTCTGAGGTCCAGGTCTATGATCAGATGGAGGCTATGTAATCTGGTGAACAGCACAACAACCAAAAGTTGCATTCATCAACTGATGTATGGTATCAATTGTGAAGTTTTAAATTAGTTTTATGATCTAGAGTTAGATCACTCTGTTTCTTGAATAATAATTAAGTAATTGTCTTGTAATTTTAAAAAAAATTATATTTTAATGTTCAATGTATTCTCTCTTTTTAGTTTTTCTATGTAGTTTTCTTGTATTTTCTAACATGCAATTTTCCACATTTCTATTTTGGTCCAGTGTGATTGTGAGGTTAATTTGTTCGAGGGGGGATGTAGGTAGAGGTGCTTGACACCTGTTCATCCCTTCCTTTTCGCTGCTTTTTATATCTTGTTTATATCTTCAATTTTTCTCATTGTGCAGTGATGAAGCGTAATAAATAAATATGAATAAATAAATAAATAGATGTCCTGATGCTTGACAAAACAATGTGAAGTAAAATGTTCCCTCCTTTTAATTTATATAGTACAGTATTTGTGACATTGGAAAATTTCTTCTCCTGTAGTATACCTTCAAGGAATTCAACAAGCCATTTTTCACAACCTATGTGAAGACTTCGATGTTTATGCTGTACATGCTAGGGTTTTTGTTTTGGAAACCATGGCAGAAGCAGTGTATGGAGTGCATGCACAAAGCAAACAAGCCTCATAGTATAGTAAGTTATGGGTTTGGGTATGGTCTTATGGTTCTTTTTACTGCATTTATTCTATGTTACTTTGTCTTGTGAAACTCAGGGCAGAAACTACAGTATGTTGCAAAGCCTCATAGTATGGTAAGTTAAGCATCCAGCAGTTTGGTACAGTGTTAATCGTTAGTTTTTTTCATCCTTGAGGTTGGGATTTCAATCTTTTACTGTGGATTTTTACTTGTTTCCTTGAGCAAGGCACTTATCTGTTATTCTTACTCTTCACCAAAATGTGTAAATGGGTACCCCCGTGGTCTGTGTGTTACTCCACCGATACGGCAGAAACACTTACGTAGAGTGCATGGACCCAATAACCATCGATAACAAACGCTTAGTAACCAAAATGCTCACTAACAATATATAACATATTGTATATTGCAGTTTGACTGCTTATAAATATACAGACACATGTTGCTCCCAAAGTTTCTGACTGTATAGAACAGAATAATGATGTCACCAGCTTCTGTTTGTCTTTCTGAGGGATATCTTGAAAACCAAATTATAATATTTATTAGAACGTACACCTTAAGATCGGTGGCACTCAAACATCATTTGGTGCGTTCAAAGTGAAAACTAAATAGTACAAAAATAGTGACAAAATTACTAAACAGAACATGTAAAGTACGGAAAAAAAAAATACACATGTAAATACACAAATTGAAAAACCACCAAAAGGGGAAGTGCTCTCAATATATTTATTGGCAAAAAACTATACTTAAGTCTGACTGATTTTATACCCATGTTCTAGAGTGAACAGCATACAGTATGTGGTTGGGGACGAAAGTGGGGCCAATCAGGATAATACCACCCTAGGGTGTCTAGGGACATGTCCCGCGAAATTTATGTTTTCTAAACGCCCAAAAATAACCTCTGAGGTTTTTTGTGCGATCTATTTTTCTCTTTTCTTTCTTTCTATCTTTCCCCCTCCCCTCCACTAAATCTGCCCCTGATAGTACTGTATACACTTGCCCAAGGAAGCTAAAAATTTGGGTTCTTAAATATCATCACATGCAACGTCTAGCTAGAGGTATATTGCAAATCGGTCGGTGTTGTTACCTTAAACACTGATAATTTGTGGATACAAGCATCATATATTATGGCTGAAATTTCAATTTACATTTCCGGCATTATTTTTCGAAGCATATTTTTAGTACTGCATTGACATCGCCACTATACTGTATTTCCCAAGTACACATTCTGGTGCCTGCCGAAAGTAAAATCAAGGTTGAACCAACAACTATGCTTAGTGGTTCAGCCATAGTTCTATAATTTGCACCTACAGTGATTGACAAACTTCATCAGATTTTATTGGATATTTGATTTGAATATCCTTTTACATAAAACCAAAATTGCTTACTTTTTGAATGTAAACAGTTTCACTGAATAGCAGTCACTAACATCAGTACGAATGTGGTTTGGTTTGGTTGCTTACTACTATTCTTTAGTCAAAGTATGTTGGTGGCACCAGTACTGCACACTGTACACCTACTGAAGAATGTATAACTAACCAAGCCACATTCATACTGATGGTGACTGGTAGTCAGCGAAACTGTTTAAAAAAAATTAAGCAATTTTGGTTTTATGTAAAAAGATGTTCAAATCAAAGTACACATATAATGCCAAATACTTAGCTATTACATTTGTAACCGATTTTTCTGTATTATATAAGCTTGGCCTTTACAGAAAGGTCTTATTTCCTCAACATATGTTCATCAATTTTTTTTACAAAGAAATTGACTATTCATTATTTAAGATTGTTAATGGAGAGAACTCATCTACTGAAGAAGATTCCTCTGAGGATAATACATTGGTATGTTCCAATTTTAGATTGTTTTATGTCCAATTATGTGTTTTAATCTGATAGTTTAACATGACCAACATTTATTCATTCTGCCAGTCATGCTGAAAATGTCAGTGTTTTTGGCTCTCAATTTTTAGCAATTTTTAGAGCAGTCTACAGGAAAAGAGATTTTCAATCTCTTGCTTTCAAATAGAGATGTTGAAAACATTGTTGGTACCCTCCCCCCCCCCCAATAATATGCTTTATACACAGTCACTATCTGAAATATGTAGCCCATATCTGTCAAGAACCAAATAATTCATTAATAAAAGGAATACAATTTGCACAAGCCCAGAAACCATATTATCGTGACAAGCTAACCCAGTCGAGGAGTTCCTTCAACAGTCGGACCCAGAATTTTTTTTGATGCTAGAAAACTGCCTTTGGGATGCGACTGGCATCAGTGGGAGGAACAGAACTGAACTGATTATGTGTATCCTCATTTAATTGACCTACACACTACAAGTGGTAGGGCTAGGGGGATTGCAACTCCAAGGCTTCACCCTGTCAGCCTCAAAGCTTTATCCTGTTTTGCATTACATAGCGGGATTCCATCCAAAATCTACTTCTAAATTTTGCATTTTAGGATTTTGTTGGGCCACACATTGTTCATAATAGCCCTGTCAAAATGAGTTTAAAAAGTTCATATTTATTATTGTTTCAAATGGTGACATTAATTTTTTTAGAGTGAACCCTTGTACGTTCCTGTCAAGTTTGATGATTCTGACAAGCTTAGTAGTAGAAGCGATAGTTTTAGCGAATCTTGTGATCCATGTAAGTACAGTGATATAATTCTTCCTCAACACATACATATTCCATTAATATGAACATTTTCTCCAAATTTTGTTTTCATCTAATTTTTTCTCATAGTTATTACCATACAAATTGATATAAAAAATTCCTCACTTTTCCTCTAGGCCTAATCTACCCCTATATTGAGATACACCTAAAGTGAGCCTAGTTGACAATAATAATTTAAAGAAAACAAACCCTGTTTTCATGAGTGAGGTAGTCCACAAATTGCATTAGACTAAAACAAGCTCAACTCATGAGTAAGGTACAGTACACTCTCACTAATTTCATGAGTGAGGCACACGATTAGTGTAAGCCTACTGTAACTGTCACAAGTCTTGTAGAAAAATGTGAGTTATTGATCTAAGTTTACAAGTCCTTATTTATGGACACATTAATTGAACCCTCTAACCATTCCCTAATCAAATCTCTGCAGACCATATTGCTGAATTTATTGTTTAAAATAGTAACTAATTAATTGATCCAGAGACCCAAAAGGCATTCTTAAGGGGTGTGAATGGCATATGTAACATAGTAATGAATTAATTGCTTTCTGATGCTAGAATTAGGAAGTGAATCATTCAAGTTACATTTTTTTTTATCTTGCCAATGCGTACAGCTCTATTGAATCTCATATAATTCACAATGAAGTGAAATAGAATGGAATGAATTATGACATACCACAGATTTATTTTGTGATGGACACAATGTAATGTTACTAACTGTAATGTTACTAATCATGATTTATTTGTCTTGTTTAAAAATGAGTCTGGATATAAAAAAAAATATTAATCAAATAAATGACACTTTGTTTCGGGTGTATTTCTGAAGAAAAAAAATTCTGAAATTTCCATTTTGGCTAACTGGCCAAAAATGGAATTTAAATTTTATTTAAAATCACCATTATTGGCATTGAGAGGTTTTTTTTAAACAAGGTATAAACAAATATTTCGCTGTAGATTCCTGTGTAGAGAGTTAGATCAATAAAATTGATTACTTTTTACTTTAAACGTTTTTTCTCAATTCTGTTCAATTTTTCATTTATACAGCAAAACATGTGCGATTTAGTAATATAATGGAAGTGCGTCAGTTATCAGGTGAGTAGTTTGTTCCTTAACAATTGGAGACAGGCCAAATAAATTTGTTTACCCAACTTTTTTTAAAATGTTTATCATTTGTTTTGTTAGTCCTGTACCAACTAAGTATTTCAAGACTTGGAGCATATTTTTTATCCCTAACTCTCATAATGAGATATGGTTTTAGAGCATTGATGAGGGTCCCAAACTTTTGCTATGTAGATCATTTTTGTAAAATATGTGTTTGTGTGTTTTTTTTAAATATGCATTATTGTACAGTGAAGCGTCTATTTTACGGACGTCCATTTTATGAATAGTCGATTTTACGAATGGGCTTTCCTTCTGATGACGTAATCATCGACCAATTAATTCCGTAAAAAAGTCTGATTGCGCACGTTTTAAGAAGTAATAATGTATATTTTTTTCTTAATAAAATCAAGTTTGTTGTATATACTGTATTTATTGATAGTTTTTATCTTTTCTTCCATTTATGCTATAACAATTACAATATTAATGTAATAAACCAAACCTGAACAACGAACTACCAACGCAAGTGTCGTCAGATTGAGCGCACATGTTTACGATGACACAACGAAAGTGTTGGGGTCAACAACTTAATATTGATATGCTAGATGATCGCGAAGTGCATGTAAACAACACAATTAGGCAATCTAAAAACTAGAAAGAACACAATAGAGAGGTCCATAAAACATACAGATCTTTTAATAAGAGCTAAAATAATATTTTGTTAAGTGGAAGAGTGCCAGCGATAAAAATAGTCTGGTTTTTATCGAAGGTAAATTCAGTTGGTACCAAGGGGTATGTAAAATGGACGTCTTACTGTATAAGTGTTTGTTTATCATTCTTATGATTCTTTTTTAAAACTCTATGTTATAAGCATGTTAATACTGGAAAATACATTGGTGCCAAGGTAACAAGGAAACCCAATGTTAGTCCTTTTGTATTTTCCGTTATATCTCCAAACATTCTATAGGTTGCTGAACCAATTCAGCAGCAATCCCATATATTATATGCCTGACTGACTTGAATGGCATTGACTGCAGTTTATTTTTATCTTACCGTATATGAAAATACTGAAGATAAGTAAGTATATTATGGTACCTGCATTGCATTTAGTTTCTGAATAGCATTTTAATTTTGCTAATTTTTCACCTACAGAAAAAGAGGCACATGAAGCGGCCTTGGCGCGGTTGTCATACAGTGCTAGTTTGCGTGCACAGCAGGATCAACAGGCCCAACTTAACAGTAAATTAAGTGTACCTCAAGTTGCCAAAGTCAGTTTTATGTTTTGTTTGGTGGTAAGTCATGCCTGCATAAGAGAATGCATGTCTATCAAAGGAGTAGATTTCATTCACAATAATTAACCTATAAATGGTATTAGATAATTTGCCTGAAACGGATACTGTATATATTGAACAATATAACTAATGCTATAAAGTTTTGTTAATGTAGAATTTTTTACCATTTTACTTTGTTATGTTTTCAATAATGAATATTTTCAAAACTCAAATGTATAATACCAAAGTGTATTAAAATTAGCATGCCAGATTGGCCAGTTTTCATTTATTATATAGTTGAACTTATGATACATTGTAAACAGTGATTACTTAAAAAAATGAACACTGTTATGTAAACATTTTATATACTAACTAAATACTAATTAAGCATCCTATCAAATGTAATGTTTTTATTCAATTCATATCTGTTGATTTGATCAAATTTAACAACAGTTTAGATAAATATTGTTTTAGTCATTACAAAAATACCAAGGCTAGACTTTTTTTTATTGTTTAGCGAACCCGCCGACTGCAAATATTGATGATTTCAAATAAAAATAAAATTTTATTTCTGACCAATTAGCACACCCGCCACCACGAAAAAGTGGAAATTTCAGGAAAAATAAAAGTTTTCTTTATTTTTATTACGCCCTCTGCTGCCTTGAAATCTCCAAAGATAAGATACGTACATTTCTTCCTATTTATGTAAATTTGAAGCATTTAACCATCCTATTTGACATTCATCAATAAAATTTTATTTTTATTTTCTCCTACGTCTGGATGTTTTTGGCAAAACTATTTGCTAAATAAGAAAACAAAATTTTATTTTTATTTTTATTCTTCCCTCCGATGATCTTTAAACAAATAAGTACACAAAACAAGGAATAAAAAAAGTCTCGCCTAATCGATATTCATACTGATTTATTGTTATAGTGGTTTCTGGGAAATTTATCATACCAAGAGGCCATCGATGATACACAGGTAGCAGTTGTACAGGTGTTTTCATCAACTTCAGGTGAGAGTAAGATTCGTGGAACTCCTTCCACATAGTATTTGCAGTTGCCTAGCATTAACACGGTGACTGCGTTTTTCCTAGTTTTATCCCACGCGTCAAGGCATAAAGGGTTCCGCCAAAAAATAAAATAATTTCCATCAATTATAATGGAACAAACAAACATGGGTATTTATTTTTAGGTCTTTACTTCCTGGTTCTTCTCTGACCTCCAGGGTGTGATTTCAAGTTCTGGTGACTTTGTTATTGGCTCATTTGCATAGTGTTGCGTGCTCGGAGATTTTTCGATTGATTTTCTCAATAATACCGCCATGCTAATACCATACCAGTCACATACATATAGTTTTAACTCAGGGGTGGGCATAAAAGCAGCTGGAGGCCCAAAGTGAATTTTTGATTTGATACCGAGGGCTGCACCCAAACTTTGATGTTTCTAGTGTGCTTCTAAAAACCTCCACGCATTGCTTTTACACCGCTTTATTCCCATTTTTAATATTGCTTCATACAGATGGTCGGTGTTGGACTGTAAGAAACAAGGTGTTTTCTAGCCAATGTTGCTTGGGCTGCACACATAGGGTTTTTAATTCATTTTCACGGGCAGCATTTTGCCCACCTGTGTTTTAACTCAACATTTTACTGAAAAATTTCCTTGTCTTTCTGTAAGATGACTAATTCCTATTATGTTGTTGTCTAGTTACACAAAGCTATTTGTAATTTTATGTTTTAAAAGATTGAAATACTCATGGAATGTTGGTATCAGTAGGTTTACTATATGTGTGCATGTCTATGATAGCTCTTTATATACTCGAAGTCCCAAATCTTGGGTGATTCATGGGAGTCTCTCACAAATTGGGGCGGCCTCTTACACTCCTGTAACTAACATTGTTTCTGCCATTTATTTTCTTCCTGAAGTCAGCATGCCCATCAAAATAAAATGTGCTGTGTAAACCAGCCAGTCTTATTCGTAGCTAATTTATAAAAAAGTACATGTAAAATTTAAAAAATAAAGAATCATCTATTAAAGATTTTTAAAGATATAGACACTCATGGACGTTGATTTTTTAAAATATTGTAGGTTTGTTCACCTTGGTACTTGCTGCCATTTTTCCAAGTTCTAATGGTGATAGATTCACACTCTCGAAATTAGTTGCAGTTTTAGTAAGGTAAATAAATCATTTTGAATTTAAGTTATATAAACTTAAGTTAATTTAATTGATTCTGTTTTATTAGTTGAGTGTCACATGTGAACTAAACATTTGGCCTCTGCTTCCAGTGAAGCTTCAAATGCAAAATGTTTAGTCCCTCTCTCTCCCATGAGTATAAATGGTTAACTGGTAGTATGTATATGTTGAATATTTTGGGGTTTATCTTGAATTTGTTGATGCAGAATTAGATACATAGATACAATAATACATCCCAAGGAGAGGAGGTTTATACAGTCACAACCCACTTATTTTACTGCCATATGAACCATGCCTTTAAACACGATTTTAGTTGTGTTTTCAATTTTTTATTTTTAGTCTTGGCGGGATTACATTAATAAGCCTTTCAGGTACCAACAGTCAAGATCACTTTAAATTGGGTTCACTGTGGGCTTTACTTGGTGCTGTCCTTTATGCCATCTACATGGTCATGTTGAAGAAAAAAGTTGATAATGAAGATAGGCTTGATATCCCAATGTTTTTTGGTAAGTACAAACTATAAAGCAATTTGTCAGTAACAATAATTGACTTGCCAATTTTAGAACTCCAAAGTACTGTATTTATTTTTACTAATGTGAAAATTGCGAACGCCTTCATCTGACCTGGACGTCCATCTATTCTTGACTCTATTTGTTTGCTCCTAGCCAGCAACTAGAAAATAAAATTCTTATCATAACCGTAGTAAACCTCCGACAATACTCTAGCTATTGTTTGTACTGTGGTAGGTAGCTAAGACTTAGCCGAGGAAATATATTAAAATGATGCCCCACATTCATTGCTGGGAGGTGGCTGGGACTTGTGTGTAATAGTGTGGCAAGTTAAGCTCCAGGTTAAGTCCCTGCTAGGCCCGGGATGCCCGGAATATAATTTTGACAAAAGCATTAATACTAACAACAAAACAATAAATAACAAAAGAAAGCATCCATTGCTGACTAATATGTGAAACTCAAGCTTGAAAGACAAAATTAATAATAATAAGAAAAAATTCAATGTTATCAAACCAAGTAATGTCCTTACTGAAAGTTTTGATGTTCCTTTCACAAGCATCATCTTCTCCTGAACAGAGACGAGGTTACCCACATCCTGATTCTTGTATACAACCCCATTGTTAAACGACAGCTGGGTTTAGCCAGAAAAACAAAATTGGCCGTCTAAAATGGAAGCCAGTGGGTGTGGCCCTGAGCCGATGAATGGGCCACTGCCCCTCCCAAACATAAGAAAAAAGTAGAAAATTATGATCTTTAGAGGGCATTTAAAGTTGTTTAAATGTTGGAATGTTGTCTTCAAAGGAATATTGTTAAATTAAATATCACAAAGACATTTCAGTTATAGACATAGATTGCATATGGCTACAGTTACCCACATAATGTTTCTAGGCTATGCAGATGCATCTTCATTCATCTCTTGCCTTAGTTTATTGTAAATTCTACTCTAGGTCCTCCGAATCGAGAGATACATGTAGGCCTACACCTACTGTATTTTGTTGACTAATAAAATTTAAATTGTGACGTTAACAACAAATCTTCTGTACGGTATTTCATGATTTAATTATAACCAGAGAGTTATAAACACCAACAAAATTATGTCAGGGAACCGAATCTCAAGTATTGTATTTGCATAGCCACATGCATGCGTCGTGGGTGACTCGGAACCATCCATTTTCAAGTGGGGTATAAATGTTTTTAATATGACGCATGTTGTAAGTGAACTCTGCACCGGGTAGGCAATGGTTAAGCCTTACATTGTTGGGAATCCCCACTGAATATTGGTATGAAAACAATGTACATTCAATCAATAAATGTTGTTTTTATCAAAAGTAAATATGATTTAGCTTTAGTTTAATAGATAAATAGATAGATAGTTTAGTTCGATAGATTTAAAGAGTATAAAGAATTTGCTAATGGTAGACTAGGCCCAATTAGGCTAGGCCGAGCTGATTAGGCTAAGCCGTCCAAGCCATCACGGTAAAAGTAGCCATCCAAAATAATTGTTGATGACCAGACGGCTGGCTGGCTAAACCTATGAGCAACAGCCACCTATTGGTTTGCGTTTTTGCTTAACAATAAAGCTGTCGCTCTGAAGATTATGTTCATGAAATTTAGATCAAAACCGTCAGTAAGGTCGGTTCATTATTTGGTTTGGTAAAATTGAATTTTTTCATTCTGTATTTATAAACCAGATAAATATCTCCAACTAAAATTAATAATACAGTAGAACCTCGATTTTACGTACGGTACGGGACCAGAGGGCGTACGTAAATCGGGGGATTCGTAAAATAGAGGTTGGGTTAAATTTGTGGTAACCTTTGACCTAATACGTACGTAACGCTCAATAAACTTATGTACGAACGAACGATGATACCTAGGCTAGACCTAGCCTCCGAATAAAACCATGTGTTTAGTGTTTTTATTCATCACTTTACGATGTCATAATAAAGTGTTCAAATAAAACCATGTGTCTAGTGTATTAATTCATCACTTTATATCTTTTATTTAACTAAAATAAAGAACATGAAAATATTGTAAGATTACCTATACGACAAAGGTATAACTTGGGAATTCCCCTTCATGCCTATTCTAAACAACAGAGATGTGGTGTTGTCTGGGCCTGTTGAGACAAACTAAACCCATATGCGCTGGGATGGGCGAGCCAACCAATTAGCGTTCGTGTACATG